GGAAAAGGAGGAAAAACAAGGAAAGGAAAAGAAAAACAAGGAAAGGGGGGAAAGGAGGAAAAAACAAGGAAAGGGACAAAAGGGGAAAAAATGGAATGGGAAAAGTGGGAAAAACAAGGAAAGGGGGAATAAAACAAGGAAAGGGGAAAAGGAGAAAAAACAGGGAAAGGAAAAGAAAAACAAGGAAAGGAGGAAAAGGGGAAAAATTCAAGGAAAGGGGGAAAAGGAGAAAAAATAGGGAAAGGAGAAAAAAAACAAGGAAAGGAGAAACAGGGGAAAAGAAGAAGGAAAGGGGGAAAAGGGGAAAAAAACAAGGAAAGGGGGAAAAGGGGAAAAAAAACAAGGAAAGGGGGAAAAGGAGGAAAAACCAAGGAAAGGAGAATAAAAACAAGGAAAGAAGAAAAAGGAGGAGAAAACGAGAAAAGGGGAAAAAACAAGGAAAGCAGGAAAAAAACAAGGAGGAAAAGGAGAAAAAAACAAGGAAAGGGGGAAAAGGGGGGAAAAATGGAATGGGAAAAGTGGGGAAAACAAGGAAAGGGGGAAAAGGGGAAAAAAACAAGGGAAGAAGAAAAACAAGGAAAGGGGGAAAAGGAGGAAAAAAACCCCTAAAAAATCAGGGAGTGAGGGAGAGAAAAGGCGAAAAAAGATGGAAAAAAAGGCAAAAAAAGATGGAAAAAATGGCAAAAAAAGATGGGAAAAAAGCCAATGTTGGTGTTCCCGAGCTCCTTCCCGTTGCCAGGTCTGGGAATTCCCTCCCAGCTCCCGCTGCCCATCCCGGGCGGGTTCTCTGGGAATGGGGGGTGTCCCTGACGTGCCTTTTCCCGCAGGGAATTCCGCAGGCGGTGCTGGTGGGCCACGACTGGGGCGGGGCCGTGGTTTGGAACATGGCCCTCTTCCACCCCGACAGGGTCAGGTGGGTCCCCGCGTTCCAGGGGCTCGGGAATTCCGGGATAAGGCTGATTATTCCCGCTGGGAATGCTCAGGGCCGTGGCCTCGCTGAACTCTCTGTATCCCTGATCCCAAATTCCGGAATAACACTCATTTTTCCTGCCGGGAATGCTCCGGGCCGTGACCTCGATGAACTCGCTGTTCCACATCCGGAATTCTGGGATAACGCTGATTTTTCCCGCTGGGAATGCTCAGGGCCATGACCTCTCTTAACACACCATTCCGCTGATCCTGAATTCCGGGATAACGCTGCTTTTTTCCTTTGGGAATTCTCAGGGCCGTGGCGTCGCTGAACACTCCATTCCACCGATCCAGAAATCCAGGATAAC